AAAAAAGTTATAAGTTCCTATTCAAAATATGTTTAAAATATCTGAAATTTACTATTGAATAAGGTTTTTGTTGAAAACTAAGTAGTTTATATTTAGCTACAACCTATTATAGCACGAAAAATTGTAGTTGAAAGGGTAAGTTTATGAAAAGGCATTGAAGAGTGGCAACAGTGTAGTAAGCAACACTGAGGGCTCCAGTAATCGACAAAATTCTGCGTATACAGACTGCGTTTAAGTATACGTTCTGCGTTCTCGACTAATTTCAGCTTAATTCCGCCATATTGACTGCCTTACGTGAAACAGTGTTACTTCTTTAACTATTCTTTGCCCATTAATATAGTGGAATGTTTTTAATTTTTTCTCAGTATACACACTTTGATTTCTTAAAAAGGTATATTATCTTATTTTATTTCATTTCATATCGAATATACTATAAAAAAGCAAATTTTGTTTAGGAGAAGATGTGAAATTTTATATTTTCCCACATATGGGGATTCATTTCTTCCCGTTTTTCTTCTCATTCTACTAAGCTAAGGCAATGCCAAATCGAGCTGTCACAACTGATACCACCTTGTATTATTGCAGCATGGGAACAAAACGATACTAGGAACAGTGCTGCCAGAACTTTTTGGACGAACCGGCTAAATTAGCAAATAAAACCGGCTAAACACGGTTACAATGTTTCAACTAAATTTCACATGTTTTATTTAAATAAATCACGAGTAAAAAGACTATTTCTTGAAGAGAAGTTTCAAATTCGAGCCAGAAAAAATTTTGCCAGCAAGAATTTGCAATTAAGAAAAGCATATGATTGTGGCACATGGTTGGATTTTTTGTCGACGATAATTTGAATACACAAGTTCGTTAAATTTAAAAATTTACAAACTGGAGCGTTTTTAAAATGAAAATTGTAAGTTAATACTTGTTTACTCAAATAATTTAGCTAATTCCAATGATTTGAAAGGTACTCGGCAAAAAAAACTGTATTCTTAATCGGAATGCAATCTCAACCATTTTTCACTCATTTTTCTTACTATCTGATATTTTGAGTGATAATTCTCGCTGGATTTTCGACGAACACACCCATTCAGCCTTATCATGAGTTTAATTTTCCCCGAACCGGTTCACTTTTTACTTTTGGTTTCCATGGTTTTACTATGGGCGGATGACAAATTTTCGGGTGAATTTTTTTTTCAGGCGAAACTCAGGATAAGGCAGATTGTCTTCCCTACAAGGCCTTTTCAGACTGACCGATTCTCAATACACTCAAATAGAAACCAATACACATAAAAAACACTGTAAAAATTTCCCTTCAATTTTAAGGCAGTAAAACAACGACCTTAAGTTAACATCAACCGAGGCCATATGTTGACAAGGGATGCAAAATCACAGTTGCACAAAAGAACTGGTCAGATTTTTCAGAAATCCCTTCAATTCTGATGTAAAATATGATGCAGATCTCCCATTTAGATGACCGGTCATATGACCGGCAGATGTCTCGTAAGATTCCCAGAGAGTTTTACTTTACATAAAAATTTGTGCGAAATCGGGATAATTTCATACAACTCTGCCTGACATGGAAATATTCTCCACGATAAGGCTAGTAGCTATTTCTAACAGATTTGGGTCGCTTAGTCAAAAATGGAAACATATATACATATTTGAAATTTAAGAAACCAAGGCAAATAGCAAAATCGGCTAAAAACGGCTAATTTTTTCTGCAAAACGGCTAACAAATCGGCTGCCGGCTAAATCGAAATTTCTCCGGCTGTTTTCTATCGCAACCGGCTAAATCTAGCGGGAAAATGGCTAAATGGCAACACTGACTAGGAAATACACGTACATACTCAATACTTTTCGTTCGATACCAAGTAATTGTGGTATCGATACTTGCGAACCGAGTGCTGAGTAGGTATCGGAAGAAAGTACATGTATCGAAACCCGGTTCAGTGACAATTTTATTCGCGGATTTTTTTAAATGTAATTTTCATTGTTAGTTGTTAACAAATTTTGGCAGCTTAGTTGCCAATGAAAAGAAAGTCCTACAAAGAAACACCTGTTTTCATCTCTATAACATATCGCTAGCTTAAAGTGAATAGTTACTAAGTCCACTTTTTGTGTAAGCTCATATTTGGATATAGGAAGCAAGGTGAATTAAAAACGCAACGTCTCCAAAAAGATTAACTAACGTGCTTGTTTTATTTCTACCCGTTTGTATTCAATTAAAGCCAAATTTACTAAGTCCAAGAGGGGCACAGAAAACTCGGCAAACTCTCAAAACATTCTAAGGGCCGGTTGCTCAAAGCCTGGTTGACACTAATCCCTGGTTAAACATCGTTATCGATGTTACCGACACCGTGTTATTTGCATGGAGTCGAAAACGTCGATAACGATGTTAACCGACGATTAGTGTTAATCAGGCTTTGAGCAACCGGCCCTAAGGGCCGTTTACTCAATATGTGGTTAACACTAATCTCCGTTTAAACATCATTATCAACGTGTTCGGGTCCATGCATAGAAACTGGAGTCGGTAACGTCGATAACGATGTTTTACCGGAGATTAGTGTTAACCAGACATTGAGTAACCGGCCCTAAATCTTTTAATTTGCAACGAAATGTTCCGCAAAATTCTTGAAGGAAATGTTTTGAAAAGTTTTTTCCTCTGTAAATTTTCTACAAATGGACTTAGCAATTTTTCATTGTAAGCTAGCCTGAATGCCCACACAACACTATAACTTTTTCCTCCAATAATTATCAACATGATTACTT